TTCAACTGTACATATATAAAACATTTCCATAGAGCAGACTTTTGTTTAGATCATTAATATCTAGTGTAACAATTGCTATGGTTGGGTTTAAGTGGACCTGTTTGCTATTTGTTTTCTATTCAATTCATTTCTCCTTTTTTTTCACCTGTCCTTTTTCCCACCTTCTGGGAGACTGAAAACGTGTTACCATTGCTACTATCACTAGTGAATTATTAACTCTTTTTGTTCTTTGTTTGTTAAGACTATCGCAGGGCAATAGTTTTTAACAGGGAGTCATTTTACTTCCTAGGGACACTTAGCAAAGTCTGGAGACATTTTGTTTCAACTCCGGGGGAGGGTGCTACCGGCATCTCTAGGGTAGAGGCCACAGACGGGGGAGGGTGCTACCGGCATCTCTAGGGTAGAGGCCACAGACCGTACTGAGCATCACACAGTGCACAGGATGGTGCTCAGAAAAGAGATTCACCCAACCCAGGGTGTCAACAGTGCCGCACTGGCAGAGCTCAAATTTTTCACTCTTTTCCTTCAAATAATATTATCATCACTTCACGTAACATAAGACTCTTAAGACATGCTGCTGTTGGGTCACTAGTAGCTGTGATCTTGAACTCAACTAATCTACTTCTCCAGGTTCAATTTTCTTCATAAGGAAACTGGAAATAACTGCTGCATAGACATTCTGTGAGAATAATGTAACCCAAGAGTACCCCCATATACTACAGGTGCTAACTTCTCAAAAAATTATGATGATAACTGCTAACGAAGAAGATCTTCAGCTATCTGGAATGAAGCGATAGACATTCTTGAAGAGACTCCTAAGAGACCCACATTCCCACGTGGCCTAACTTTTCTTACAAATGCCTCTTCTGCTAGTTCTCCCCTCCAAAATGACGGCAAGACTGCACCCTACTGGACTGGCTGGCAAAGTCTGACTTAGAAGAGAATTTCAAGAATCTCTCAGCCTCTGATACATAATCCCTTTTATTTACCTACATTTAATTGAAGACATCTGTAGGTGGTGCCACACAAATGTAATTCAGGCTTAGGAAATGTCAATAAAAATGTCTGTAAGGGAGAGATACCATGTAAACCTAGCAGGGGAAGGCACATCAGCAGCTACAGAGCCACACGAAATTAGGAATATAATGGAAATATGCTGCCTGACTTGACGAGGTGATAAAAGCTCTTTTCCCATAAAGCTTAATGAGCTCTATTAGTCTTCAGCTTACAGGAATGTAAAAGGGTCAGCCCCACAGAGGGAAGTAACTGACTCTCCACACATGGCTCCATTCAAATGACAGCAGATCACATTACTGATGTGATTACTATAACCTGACAATTTCGTTAGATTCATGTGGCAGTTAACTGTTTAGGACTTCCAACAAAGGAGCGTGGTTCATTCATGGTAGTTTTTGCGGACAGAATGAAATTTAAAGTCTCCTTCATTTTCAACTGCAAACCTCAAGTATTTTACTGCCTCTACTGAACTATTTTTCTTTTATTCAAAATAAGGTATTTGGGGATTAACCATATTTGCAATTTTCCTTCTCCAGCTAAAGCATAAGCTTAATGGCAAAATTAAACATTTAGAGATTCTCAACATTCTTCTGCCTTGGTTTTGCCTTGGCTCTGCGCTGCAGCAAAGGACCAGAATCCTAAACTCAGCACTGCTGGAGGCCCGGGGGGAGCAGTCACTAACTATGCCATCAGGTGGCCCCGGGAAATTCAAGCTAGAAAATACCAACAGAATGCTCTCAAAAAAAAAAAGGTTAAAGTATTTCCCAAATGCTTCAAAAAAAGAAAGCGCATTGGTCATCTTCAATTTTTATTCTTTTGCCTCTTCCATGTCCATAAGCCCAGTAAGAAAAAAAGATCAATTTAGCCAAGGTAAAGTACAACTCCAGATCATTAAACGGAAAAAGCAGATTAGACAGAAAAAAACAAAAACGATCACTTAACTTTGATCATGATGCTTTCCTTTCTACTTTTCACCAAAGACTGAAGCTTCTACATAAAGATTCCCCAGCATTTAACCAGAATAATATGTAATTTTTATAATGTTTGTTTGGTACAAGTCTAGGTGTACGGTTGGTACTATTCCAAGTCCTATTTATACTTGAGATCATCCAAAGGTGAAAAAAATAAAGATCCTGATCTTAAGTAGCTACAAGCTAGCTGGGAAGAGAGACTGTTAACCAGATTGAGACATAAATATTAGCCTGTGTGTGCTCTGGCAGCCCTGATTATGCGGAAAAGCTTGCTACTCTCAGCTTTCACTGTGCCTACTTACTTATTCCTTCATTCATTCATTCAACAAATACATATTCAGTGCTTCCCATGTATCAATAGTGTGTACATCCTCAGTCGTGTCCAACTCTTTGTGACCCCATTGACTGGAGTGCCCCCAGGCTCCTCTGTCCAAGGAATTCTCCAGGCAAGAATATTGGAGTGGGTTGTCATTTCCTCCTCCAGGGCATCTTCCCAACCCAGATTAAACCCGCATTTCTTGCGCTGGCAGGTGGATTCTTTACCACTGCACCACCTGAGAAGCCCATGTATCAAGAGTACTTAACTATTATATGTAAACACAAGGAAGCAAGAGAAACAGGGTCCTCTCTTACTGAGCTTACATTTAAGAGAAATCTACCAGTGAGGACTATTTAAAGTATCTCTGCTATTGTTCAGTAACATCTTCAAACTGGTAGTTTGTCCCAGTGAGGCAGACATCAAGCACCAGCCTCCTCATTTACTCCCTGTGTAGATAAATTCATCCAGCCCAAATGCCTTCTGCTCAAAACTCCTATTCCTGGCAACTCCTCTGAGCTCTTGCTTAAATGAGAGTCCAGCCTTAAGCATTATCAACGTGATCTCTGCTTCTAAGCTCCTGCCGGTCCCTTTTTTCCCCAAGACTAGACCCTGTTTTGGCATTAGAGATTTCCCTGATGTACATCTCGGTCAAAAGACAACATTATACTTAAAAACTGATTCTAAGAGATTATATTAAGTACAATAATCATTTTACGACACTTTCCCAAACTGCCTTTTAACTATATATGTTTTCATGAACCAAATCATGGATTTTTTTTTTTTTTTACAAAATCCAATTTAATTTTTCCATCTTTTCCTTTGTGATATTTCTCATTCTATGTTTAGAAAGCACTTTATCAGCTAACTAGGAGACTATATAGTTTACACTGTCTTCAAGTTTCTTATGATATAGTTTTAACTTTTATTGTTTTTACACCAAAATTCATTTAAAACTCTATGTGACAGGTATTACACTTAGCGTCTATCACACATTATCTCCTTTCATTTTAATAACCCTGTGAGTATTATTATTATCTCCATGTTTTAGATGAACTTAAAAGATGAAACGACTTGCTCACGGGCCACCCAAGGATCTCTCATTTCAAAGCCCAGAATCTTTCCAGGCTTTGTTTCCCCCTGGTTGCTGGACATAGAAAATGGAACCAAACCTGGACGGTACTACCCCTCTGGTCTGCTCCACTTCCCCTGGAACTCATTCAAGCTGGCCACCAGGAGGGCGGGCCACACCACGTAACAACAGTAGCTTCAATAATCAGAGAATATAATAAGGAAACAGAGAAGGGCACAACTGCCTCTATGTGGAGCAGAGAGGGCCTCACAGACAATACAGCATCTAGGCTCGGCCTGAAGCAGGATGTGATCTGCAGAGGTTGGGGGTGGGGAAGGGAACACAGAGTGAGGTAGACAACAGAGGCAAAAGGAAGGACAAGTGAAAGGCAGGGACAGAGTCTTATCAAGTGAGGCTAAAGCACAGCCTGAGAGGAGAACACAAAATATCAGTAAGACCTGAAGAGCACTTTATAACCTGCTCCCATGTCCACTGCCTCATTTGAGAGGTAGAAATCATTATCTGCATCTTGAAGACAAGCAAGCTGAGGCTCAGGGACGCTGCGACTGCCCCGAGTTGTGCATCCAGTAAGTGAAGACCTGGCTGAACTCCAGGTTTGGTACTGAGTCCCTCCACGTGCCCCACTGCTTCCCCTCTCTGACTCCTTTCCCAAAATCTCACCATCTTCTCCAATTAATTCCTTTTCAACCACAGCTCACACCCGTATCTGGTTCTCTGATTAAGAGTTTTCGTTATCTCACAATTTCATCACTGCATTTTCAGGTCTAAATTGCAGAACCGTCATAAGAATTAGATGAGAAAGTGAGCCGGGCACCTAGAAGCCTGCGTGGGCATAATGGAGCTCAATACAAGTAAGTCCTCTGCTCTTCCCTAATCAATCCACGGGTTTTAAAAAGTTCTCTCAGACTAACTGAAACCTCCCTGGTGACAGCCTCTGCCCAGACCTCTCCAGCTCCCCTTTAACACCAGGGCAGTTTATGAAGATAAAGTCAATGTGAGACCGTCATGGGAGGAAGGAGACAAAACAAGACACTAAAATGGACTGATCTGGGCTTCTTTGATGGCTCAGTGGTCAAGACTGTCTGCCAATGCAGGAGACACAGGTTCAATCCCTGATCTGGGCAGATCCCACATGCAGCAGAGCAACTAAGCCCATGAGTCACAGCTATTGAGCCTGGGCTCCAGAGCCTGGGGGTGGCATCTGCTGAGCCCACGTGCCACAGGCACTGACACCTGTGCGACCTCGACCATGCGCTCAGCACCAAGAAAAGCCACTGCAGTGAGAAGCCCGAGCACCGCAATAGAGAGAGCCCGCACAGCACTGAGGACCCCACACAGTCAAAACTAAATAAGTAAGTAAAATAAAAAGCAGGTAAGTGAAATGGACTGACTTCAGTCTACCTGATAAAATGAGGGCAACGATCTGTTGTGAAGGTGAATAGCTCTGGAACTACTGGAAGTCTTATAAAACAAAGTGTGCATTCATCTCATTTATGGTATTGAAGAATATACATCCTGACAAAATGATCACTCCTAAATTATCAAATAAATGCCTCACAAAAGTAACCAATAGCAGTATTAAGGTCAATGAGTAACCTCTTACCTCCAAAGGTGAGCTGCAAAGGAATCTTGTGAACTGCAGAATCACATTCGAATAGAATCAGTTCCATCCAATAAAGGAGCAGCAAAAGAGAACACACAAAAAAGGAAAATTTATTACAAAATTTTTCAAAAAGGGCACATAAAGTGAACCTAAATGTCTATATATAATGCTTCATACACTATATAATTCATTTACAGAGTACAGAAAAGTTCAATCTAGACCATAGCATGAGTTTAAATATTTGTCAAAATCTGTATAAAAACAAACAAAACACAACAAATAAAATATTTATTTTTTAAAGCTTTATGTCACAACCCCTATGCAATAAAACAATACCTACATAATAAAGAAGGAATCAACAATATAAATGCCACAGGCAAAGTCAGGTAAATGCCTAACTTCAGAGAAGAAAAAGATATAAACCAAAAAGGAAAGCAAGAACAGAGAGAAATTAAAAAGTCAAGACCAAGAGAGCAGGTGGGTTAAGCGACAGTGAACTAAAGGGGAAGCTATCTCTCTAGAACCCAGGCTGTTCCGCCCTTCCTCTTTTTTCAACCTCATACACGTATTTTCTCTCTCTCTGACTTATAAATTTCACAAATTATAAATTTATGGCTTATAAATTTCATCTGAAACTAAGTGTTACATGCTGTTTCTCAGCATTTAAATAAAGAAACAAATTTTGGAACTGGGGAGGAGCCTGAAAAAACTGACTAAGCAAATTGCGGGTTAGCTCTGAGATGAGGACTGTCACATATTTTCATACATATTCATAATGGTAATCATGTTTTCTTAGATGTTATTTACAAAATCAACACTCCAAATCCTTTGAGACTTATTGTAATAATAAAAAAGCCAAGTAATATAAACTCTGGATCTTACTAAATGCAAATAAACTACAACACAATGTGATGGCAGGCCAGTTAGCAAGCACTCTTGAACTTCCTCTCCACAACACAGCTAGCTAGTACTCACTGGGAATATAGATATTTTGATTCTCTTTTAGAGATACATATTGAAATATTTCTCAATGAAATTACCTGATGTCTGGGATTCCCTTCAAAAGCATGGGGGGGTTGGAAGGCAAGTTATGGTGGGGAATGTACAGATAAAACAAGAAGCGACATTATATGAAACTAGTGAGGACAGATGAATATATGAGGATTCATTATACAAGTCTCTCTACTTTGTTAATGTTTAAAATTTTCATAATAAAGTTTAAAAAACATACCAGACATTTATTACCTCCAAATCTAAAGCAAATAAATTCCTAAAAGATTACTAGTGTACACCACAGCCACATAATTAACTAGTAAGCATCATCTAGGCCTTAGATGATAGGGTATAATAAAATGTAGGCACTATTAAGATCTTTCTCTTAGTTTAAATAATACTAATATGCAATTCAATTATGTTAACTGCTAAAAGAGAACTTTCTGAAAGTGCAAGATAAACCAAAAGTTTTTAATTTCATAATGCTGATATGAAGCACATAATTCTAATGAAATCTAAATTGCAACCTTTATAGTCTTGGATTCTTTTTACATTAGCCCAGCATAAAATAATCTCCAGCCTTCCTCCCAAGAGTAAAAAGTGATAGTTGAAAGACTACCCAGTTTTCAAAGTAGAGAAAAATGAGGCATGGTGCGTTTTTATATTAAAGTTGAGAAAGCTGCTATTGTAGGGTTTCCATGCTTTTCTCTAGTATGTGCATGTTAACTGTATTATACATACTAAGTTAGGATTTAGAAGTATTTCTGGTTCAGTTGTAATTAATGAATTAATTATGATGGAAGTGTAAAATAAAATTTGTACTTTATGGGAAGACAAGAAAAATTTAAACATAAAAAGCAGTGCCATGCCCTTTGGCCTCCTCTCTCCCCTCTAATACACACTGTTTATCTGCATCATCCATCCATCATACCTCCACCATGAGCAGAAATACCTGCTCAACCATGAAGAGTAACATCCTCCCAGCACCATCAAGACAACTGCTTCAAAGATAACATTCCTTCTTGATCCTGTAAGGGGTCACACAACCCATCATTTTGTACCTGCAGATCTGGATTGTGTATCATTTAATGCACAAGCCCCTCTGTCATAAAAGTTCTATAGCTGTGTTTTGACTTCTAACAGGCAGAATAGTTCTTGGAGCTTTCTGAATGGCTTCCAGGTTATAATCCTCATTTTAGCTTGAATAAAAGGTTCTAATTCTTTCTTAGATCAACCGGACTGATTAATTTTTTGTCTGACAGAAGTCGCTTTAAATAATGAAAGAATAGTATATACTCTCCAAGAAAACTATTGTCTCCTTGAAACTCAAATAATTTACATCTTTGTCGTGTATATATATGACATTCCTGTCAGTTTTTTTTTTCAATACAGACCTAAAAATTATTTTCCTGTTTGATGCTGCCAAAACACGAAATATATAAATTTCTCAATCAGCAAGGCTGTATAAACAGAATAACAAATCACAAGGCACACATTCACCATCCTAATCATAGGACATGAGAAAGGATGAAAATGCTTCACCTACTTTAGTGCACCAGAAAAACCCACTGCTATTTTCCCTCCAGTTAATTACTAATATTTAGTAAATTCATTCATAATGAATGACACATAATATATTCAGTAGAAAAGAAGGTAATACTTTGAAAAACAACAGTCATAAAAAGGCAGATATAATTTGTAAAGTACATTTTGTATATACACTAAAATTGATAACAAAAATAGACACCTTTTTAACAAATAGCATGAAGTTAAATCAGTATCAAAAATGGTTCAATTCTGCTGTGAATGTAAACTTCTCTAAAAAACAGAGCCAGTTATAATGTAAGGGGAGCAGAATTTGCCACCCCAAAATGTGTTTGTTTGGAATATTATTTAAGCTGGTTATTTTTAAGATACAGCAGACTGGGGAAAACTCTGAAAACCAAGTAGGAGTTGCCTCTTTGCAAGAAAATATTTATTATACATTGGTAATGGAAATCTCCATTTGTAAGGGTATCTCCCTTGCTATACCTGAAAGAGGAAGAAATTGTAGCCACCCTACCAAATACATAGAAATGAAAATAGCAAATTAGGTGACAGAGGAATATGTTTCAAACAAAGGAATAAGATAAAACCCTAGAAGAAGAGCGAAGTGAAGTGGAGATATGCCATCTATCTGACAAAGAGGTCAAGGTAATGATCATAAAGATGCTCAAAGAACTTGGGACAGAACGCATGAACAGGGTGAGAAGTCAGATGTTTTTAACAAAGAGAAGATGTCAAATACAAAAAAGAACCAAACAGAGATGAAGAATACAACAACTAAAATAAACAATAACACTACCAGGTATCAACAGTAGATTAGATGACAGAGAGGAAGAGATCAGCAAGCTGGAAGATAAACAGTGGAAATCACTGAAGCTAAACAGAAAAAGAGAGTAAGGACTTCCCTGGTGGTCCAGAGGTTAAGAATCTGTCTGCCAATGCAGGGGACACAGGTTCACCATCCCTGCTCCAGGAAGACCCCACATGCCGTGGACCAACTAAGCCCATGCGCCTCAACTACTGAGTCCACATTACAGAGTGCGAGGCGCAACTACTGAGCCTGGGAAACTAGAGAAAGCCCGCACACAGCAACAAAGACCCAGTGCAGTCAAAAATTAATAAACAAATAAAGTTTCGAAAAAAGAAATGAGGACAGCTTCAGAGACCTCATGCAGCATTACAGGTACTAACATTCTCATGTGCAGGGGTCCCAGAAGGAGGAGAGAGAGACAAAGGGTAGAGAACACACACCTACATACTATCAACAGCTGAAAACTCCCTAACCTGTGAGAGGAATCAGACATCTCAGTCCAAGAAGCACAGACAGCCCAAACAGGATCAACGGAGAGAAGGCCACACAAAAAATACACCATACTTAAAATGGCAAAAATTAAAGGCTCAACAAAGGAGGCAAGGATACACAGTGGGGGAAAGACAGTCTCTTCAATACATGGTGCTGGGAAAACTGGACAGCTACATGGAAAAGAGTCAAAGTGGACTACTCTCTTATCAAGCACAAAAACAAATTTTACATGCATTAAAGATTTAAATTCATTTATTTTTAAAACTATTTTCTTGAAGTATAGTTGATTTACACTGCTGTATTAATTTCTGTACAGCAGACTGACTCAGTCAGACATACACATAAATTCTTCTTCATACTCTTTTCTGTGATGGTTTATCACAGGATACTGAACGCCGCTCTCTGTGAGACACAGGAGGACCCTGCTGTTTGTCCATTCATATATAACAGTTTGCATCTGCTAATTCCAAACTCCCAATCTCCCCCCCCCCCCACCCTTCTTCCTCCTTGGCAACCACAAGCCTCTTCTCCATGTAAAAATTTCAATTTAAATAAGATCTGAAGCCATAAAATTCTGGAAGAAAACACAAGCAGTAACTCTTTGACATCAGTCTTAGTAATATTTTGGGGGGATGCCTCCTCAGGCAAGGGACATAAAAGCAAAAATAAACAAGACTACTTCACACTAAAAAACCTTTGTGCACAGAGAAGGAAATTATCAACAAAAAGAAAAGGTTATCTACTGGATAGGAGAAGATATTTGCAAACGATGTATCTGATACAGAGTTACTATCCAAAATATACAACTCAACATCAAGAAAACAAACTCCCCGATTAAGAAGAAATGGGCAGAGGAACTGACTAGACATTATCCAAAGATATACAGATGGCCAACAGGCACATGAAAAGATGCTCAACATTACTTATCATCAGGGAAATGCAAATCAAAACCACAATGAGGTAGCAACCTCACACCTGTTAAAATGGTTATTACCAAAAAGACAACAAACAACAAGTACTGGCAAGAATGTGGGGAATAAGGGAACCCAGGTGCACTGCTGGTAGGAATGTAAACTGGCACAGCCACTATGGAAAACAGTATAGAGATTCCTCAAACAATTAAAAATAGATGTACCATGTGATCAAACAATTCCATTCCTATGTATTTATCCAAAGAATATGAAAGCACTAA